TCATTCCACATAGTGTTTTTAACAAATTTTTATCAAGGACTTTAGACAAATTCATATATTTGGGTAAACCTTGACATTATGCATTATTTATATACAAATGTTTCGTTTCTGTTCTGCATTGTCATTGTATCTGGTTGACGAGGATTTCCAGTAAATATTTAATTCTAACTACACGACTCTAGCAAGAACGACCAATACAATGGCTGCTTTACCATGGCTGCAGGTAAATACACAATTTCAGATAAAATCAATGGTATGTGTCGGGTTCCAGCAGGTATCGTTACCTTTTATAGCAGAAAAGAGTCCATTGTGATACAAACTACTTCCGGGTAAATTAAAACAAATGTCTAGTTGTTATATCATATGTCAGGGCGTGTAAAATTTGTTCAGGAAAATGAACACAGCTTTTTAAAATTTTGTTTATATAGCAATGTTTATAAAATGGACCTGGTTTTTGGACGCATGATCACAACATATTAAAGCAAGAGGCCCATAGGGGCTGTAGCAATCACATTGAAAGCCCTAAATAGGAGCTTGGTGGGAATGTGGGGTTAAGTCAATCATCTGAACTGGAAACGTCTGTAAGACATGAATTCGCCCTTTCCCCTGAAGTAATTACACTGTTGGCAATGTATCTGATGACAAAGTAGCAAAGACTGACCTATAAATAGGAAGTGATCATCTGAGGTTATTCTCATACGTGATTAAGTATAAACTTTGATGAAAATCTGTTAAGAAATGAAATCAGTAAAGCTATGACAATAAATCAGGACAGAAAGGGGTGGGATAGGGTATAAAAGGGACACACCATGGGAGGAGGGCTGGGCATAACAAAATTTACAGAACTACATATCAGCAAGCTACAGACCACATTTTAACCCTACTAGACCCTAGCTTTGACCTTAGATGTAGGTCAATAATGGTGTAATTTATTCGAACAAATCTGATAGCCTTCACATCTGTAAACTATATGGCCAAATGATGTGACTTAAGGCCTTGGAAATCTTAAGATGAAGTTTTTTGAAATTTTCAACTTTTGTTGCTTGTAACCTTATAATGTTAGAAAATGAATCATGATTTTTAACTGTCTATGCACATTACTATCACAAATGTTATTGATTTATGATTAACTATTAGCTTGTTGTATGAAATTAGATAGCTTCCTGAAAGGAAACTTTCAATATTTTGAAATTGATATCAAAACCATACATACAAGTATAACAGAGAGCCAAGCAGATTTGATAACAGCGAACACAAACAACACTGGTTTTATTGACTTGCCTCTAAGGGGCACATTTACGCACATTTCTCAATATATCCTCAATTAAAACGAAATTTAAACGGCACACAGCAAATAAATATCCCTTATAATAACATGCCAATGGTGTGTGTATAATATAAGTATTTACACTTGATAACACTGAACAGACTGCAAATATATGCTGCAGACAACGTTTAAATAACCCACCGTTTGGACACGATTTAGTCCTAATGCACGCACACTAAATGGACACAATAAGTCCATTTACAGTGGGAAGTCATTTCCAAATCCATTAGAATTTTTGAAAGTTGACCTGGGGAAAAGGAAATTAAGTCGCATGATTTTTATTCCTTGGCTTCCTTCCTCCCACAATTTTTTTTTCTTATTCCTTCCTTCCTGACACAATTTTTTCTTTCTTTCTTATTCCTTTCTTCCTCCCACAATTTGTTAATCTTTCTTATTCCTTTCTTTCTCCCACAACTTTCTTTTCTTTCTGATCCCTTCCTTCCATCCACTGACTTCTTCCTTAAAGATCCTTGTCTCACTGCAGGCAAAGCACTGGAGATTGTGTTTTTTGTATGCACTTTCATTGACTAGCTAGATAGCTCAGTTGGTTAGAGCGACAGTATAACAGTATGAGGTCCAGGGTTCAAGTCCTGGTGAAGCCCCACTGAAGTTTCCGAACTCCAGACACTGTTGTTGATTAACTGTTGTTCATTTCATCTTAAATTTTTTCATTGAATTCCTACAAGTTATGTTTTTTCTTTCAGAAATTATACAGAAAAGTGACAGAACAGTTTTTGGTAGCAGCATGGGGATCCTAAAAGTTTTTTTCTCATTTTTTGTTTGTTTGGGAGGGTATATAGCCTGATTGACTGAAATGGGAAAATTGTGTTACAATAATCCGAAATGAGAACTTTCATAATTATGCTGAAAAAAAAACCAGTTTTTTTTTACGAATTACCTTTTGAAGAATAAAATACCCATATCTACGTTATATTATTTCATTTTAATTGTTAGATGTTGTATTGAATATCAGCTAAATATTAAAGGTCATGTAATTGTTCTTTTGGAAATTCAAGTAATCATGCCAATACATTCTAAATATATTCCATTTAGTTAGGACATCACTGCTTCATATGCAGCACTAGTTTACTGTTTATTGCTCTTATATAATCCTTGCTCTGGGATCCGGAGTTAGTCTGAATTGTGATGCCCATCCTTGAGTGCATTGTTCTCAAAGTGTTTGTAAGGAGTTGTGAAAGTATTGTGGCAAACTCATCACACGCTGTACAAATCAATGCCGGGGTAACATATAAATAAGATCTATATCTATAGCTGGCTGTCCGTAGGTGTAATACATATAAATTGTTAATTGTACACCAAGATCAGTGATAAGGCTTGTCATGACAAGAAACAATGGGAATGTAAGATGTGTAGTCTGTCAATCATAGGGATCTTTATAAAACTTGATGTACCTTACAGTCTGTCAATCACAGCGATCTTCAAGATACATTTTACAGTTTAATATCTATTATTCTATTACCGGTATGGCCTTATTCCAACAAAATGGTTCTACGGTTTAAATGTTGGCCATCAGGCTCCGGCACTTCCTCTCCAGACATTCCTATCAAAGAACTGTTCTCAAGGGAAAAGGCCTCAACTCATTCACCCCTACATATTTAAACCGGACTTGCCCAGTCTTTGATTTGGTAAGGTTCAAATGTGACTTTAGGGATGAATGCCCGGTTAATAGATATGGGCCCACTTGTATAAAACATCTCAAAGTTAAGGAAAATCACAAGCAATGTATTGTCTATGTGAAATCTTAGACTTGAGGAAATCTCACGAGTTGAGATGTTTTATACAAGTGGGCCCTGGTACATTATATCTTATACTTTAAACCTGATGTCTTAAGAGTCCATCAATCAAGTTTTGATAAGATAAATGTCTTGCAGTCCATCAATCACATGGATATAAGACAGGTCTTACTGTTCATCAATTAATGGATCTGTAAGATAGGCTTTACAGCCCAGTCTATCAATCAAGTTTTATAAATGCCTTGCAGTCCAACGATCACAAGCCGTATTTATATTTGTGTTATAGTCAGTCAATCACATTAATCTGTAAGACATTTAATCCATCAATTAAACTGATCGATCAGCAATATTCAAATGATAAAGAAAATGGTCCAGGATTTCTGGGTTAAAAAGACCTTGATAAGCTTTTAATTTCAATTAATGGGAATAGTACTGAATTATTTCTAATTTTCGTGTTTTATTTGGTTGTGGTATGTTGATTTTCATCAGTTTTGTGTAACTTCCCTCATCTGAAATATTATTTACAGGTAAGCTCAAAGTTGTTTATGGGGATAATGGCCATATTGAACACCTGCGATCAACAAACTGAAATTGTTGACATGACCAGATCCATTTCATACTCAATTGCCATGTTTGTATCTCTGGTATAGTGGCAATGTATGAGATATGACATCACACAATTTTTCCCTATAGGTGCCATTTTGACAGATATTGAGCATAAATATGATAGCGTAGCTTAATGAACCCTACAGACAACACAATCAAGTTCCTACCACAACGACTTTGACAGAATGATAATTTATTGATGGATATTAATTGAAAATTAGTGAGAAGAGGTTGGGTTGTTTACCACAAATAGTGTTTACTGACCGATGTCCAGTGACAGAACGTAATTATTAGTAGATGTTATACCAGTATCACAGACCTGCTGACCTGTCTCCTTTGAACTTGTTTTCAGGCACTTTAGCCTCTAACTGACACAGATAAATAATGTATAAAGTACATTAATATATAGCTGGAGCTTAACCTTGCTCGGAGTAAACAATTACCAGTTAACCTTACAATAACAATACTGACAATTAGTGGTCGGCTGATGATCAATTATTTCTGGAATTCCATAGGTTTGTCCTTTGGAATTCCATAGGTTTGTCCTTTGGAATTCCATAGGTTTGTCCTTTGGAATTCCATAGGTTTGTCCTTTGGAATTCCGAAGGTTTGTCCTTTGGAATTCCGATTATCGATTACAAATTCAAGAATCGATAAAATCAGCTTACTACTGAACTCAAGTATGCATTGAAAGTTATCTCCCCTTAATTTCTGATTGGATATAACTGTAGTAGATTCACAACAGATTAGGTAGCTCAGTTAGTTCGAGTGACCTGATATTATGATTAGGGGTCAAGGGATAGGTTGTTTGATTGTTTGTTGGAGTGGTTTAGTTTTATGTCTGCCTCACTTCCAAGTTTTCGGTTTTCCAGCAGACAAAGAAAAGATTGGAAAATGAGTAGGAGTATATAGTGAAGGGATAGAAACAAATAACAAAGGAGACAACTCACAGGCCTAATCTATGCCTTATCCTAACTCTGTTTGTCCTGAAGACACTAGTCTCATAGCAACACCATAACCCAATTCAATATGACCGGAAGTGGGGTACGAAGACGCCACCAATCACACCAGCTCCAGACTAACCTATACCCTTTTTGTTAAGTCTAAACTTTTTGAGGGTAAGATCTGGCTCTGTTATATTTATACACTCAGAAAACTGTTATTCACTTTTTGTCATGCAGAAAAAGTATCCATTTCATCGTTGTTTGGCAGTGGTATCCATCATACTTTTGTTGACAAAGAAATGCCTAATTTAAGACTTTTTTATTACCATGGATTAAACTTTGAAATATAAATCGTAGATGAAAACCTACCTTCGAATGCATTGTCAAGCACGCCCTGACCAAGATCTTCGAACACTTCACGCTGACTGGCATAGCTTGATCCAGGTGTGGCCTGCAACACACCCTCAGCGGTCTCCACCATTCCATCATGGGACCTTTTGTACAAACAAGTAGATAAAGTTAGTTTACGTCTCAAAATAATGATATATATATAAATTTATTTAATAGCATTAGAGGGCTTGCTGATTTATGCCCAAATCTTTCTAAATTAATTCCATACTAAGAAACTTGTCAAATACTTTATGATGAGTTGCAATTTGGACTCCGCTGATTAATTGAGGACTCTTTAGGTAAAGAAGTATATTTTATGGGAGGCAACTCTTATACAAATCCTAGTCATACCATTTAAGGTAGTATATATCCTTAATTCTATCACAAATCACAGGTATCAAACACGCGAAGTAGCATGTTATATCCTTACTTCTAACTCAAATCACAGTAATAAAACGAAAGGTAGCATATAACCTTAATGTGTGAGGTACATATAACCTTAATTCACAAATTATAGGTATAATGTGTGAGGTACATATAACCTTAATTCACAAATTCAAATATCTCCCAAATATCTATTCCACCACAATAAGACAAAGAACTTATAACAGCTATTGTTCTTTCTGAAAATTCAAATTTAATATCTTTTTGGGAAGAAAAAGTGTGAAAATACGTACTCTCGAAATTAAAATAATTTACAGAAGTGTAGTTTACTTACCAGTAGGAATAATCAAATGAAAACTGCACAGCACAATCACCAACAGGAACAGGGAATGAAAAAACGAACAATTAATAACCAGCAATGAAGGAGATATACATACTTATTAACCTTCAAAGTAAAACAGTGACGGTATCATCCAGTGAAGATCAACAAATTGGGAAATGAGAAGAACAGTTTATAACCAGTAATGAATAGATACACATATTTATTAACCTTAACGTGAAACAGTCACGCTATTATAAATGAAACTTGGACAATGAAGATAACAGCATCAACAAAATGGGAAATGAGAAGAACAGACTTTAATAACCAGAAACGAAGTAGATACCTATATTTATTAACCTTAACGAGAAACACTGACACTTATCATCTAATGAAACTTGGACCGTGAAGAATGCAGCATTAACAAAATGGTAAATGAGAAGAACAGTTAATAACCAGTAGTTAATTAGTAGATACACATTTTTATCAACCTAAATGTAACACAATGTCATTGTATGAAACTGACTGTAAAGTTTAAGGCATCAACAGAATGGGCTGTATATAAAAAGGAAAAGAGCAAACAACTTCGTACAATGAAGATAAACAGACTTATGAACAAAAACACAACACCATGTTTATTTATTAAATACATTTAAAGGGCTATATCATCAAAGACGTCGTAAGGTTGAGACGCCAGAGGATATTTATTGTGGACGTTTGATATACCATGTAAATACCGCAAACAGTTGAGAAAACATGACTTATTGGTTTTTAAAGAGGGTTGGAGTCAAAGTTGACTTGTTCGGCTAAACATTTCTGTTTATGTATGTACACACTAGTTTATTTAAACTCAGCAAACAAGCTGAACCTCATACATCAACGTAGATCAGAGGAATGTCAGTAGGGCTGTCTAGTATTCACTGCAGTGTAAAGTCCCTGAAGAGATGTCAACCACACGCAGCATGTACAACGGGGCATATTTTGGTATTATACAAGACTGATATATGCTTAACCAATGCCTAGGGTTATAATTTTGGGTGTAAATGTTCATAGGGGTCAACCTCTGGAACCTCCAATGAGGGAGATCTCTCACATTGTACATTCCCAATGACTGGGAAAGTGTGTAAAACTGAAACTGCTATTCCCAATGACGGAGAAAGTGTGAAAAACTTAAAACTGCTTTGCTCAATTTATTTTTCCCTATTTATGTGTCACAATTAACTCCAAAAAGCATTCATTTGATTCAGACACACCTGTTATGATCATTACACTCTGCAGTAACTTGGAGATTATTTGACCACTGTCAGGGTGTAGATTTTAGGTTTTGGGTGAGTTTAGACTTGAATGATGGAGTTTCGACGGAGATTGGTAAATTTTGGTAAAATTGAGGTTTGACAGCTATACATGTTACCAACTCAGTTTTTATTTAGACCCACTTTATTGGACATCCCAACATTCACCTGTTTATTTCTTGTCATATTTTCTCAAGTAGTACGTTGCATCACATTGAACTCCGAGGGAGAGCTTAAATAAATTATTTCCACTCTTTGTAATTCTGCTAAATTCAAGTTACTTTTACCCTTGACAAAGCTCAACTATTTTGTAAATACAGTAAAACCATGTTATACTGCTACCATTTTTCCAAAACTAATTCTGGCGTTATAAAGGGGTTTGGTGATAAATTGAGGGAAATGTATTATGAAATTCTTAAGAAACAAGAACAAGAGGCCCATGGGCCTTAACGGTCACCTGAGTCTACAGTATTTATTTTTTTTGTTGAAATATGTACCAATTTGAGTAAAAAATAGTATAATGTTAACTTAACTTTGTCAGGACCATGAGCTGATCATTCCTAGACCAATTTTAAGTGAGATCGGCCTATTAGAATTTAGTAGCAAAATAGCGGCATTGGCAGCCAAATTGTATTTCAAACTTAAAGTCAAGTTCTGCTGGACCGATTGAACTTAAAGTTTGTAGGAATGATAGACTCATGGTCCTGACAAAGTGTTGTTATTTTT